GTCGTAGTAGTGGTAGTGGTAGTAGTGGTAGTAGTGGTATTAGTGGCAGCAGTAGCAGTAGTGGTAGTGGTAGTGGTAGTAGTGGTGGTAGTAGTAGTTGTTGTTGTTGCTGTAGTAGTAGTAGTAGTAGTCGTCGTCGTCGTCGTCGCCGTCGTCGCCGTCGTAATAGTAGTGGTCGAATGGTCGTAGTGGTTGTCGTCGTCGTAGTAGTAGCAGTAGCAGTAGCTGTGGCAGTGGCAGTAGCAGCAGTAGGGGCCGTGGCAGTGCCAGTTGTAGTAGCAGTAGCAGCAGTAGCAGTAGTAGTAGTAGTAGTAGTAGTAGTAGTAGTAGTAGTAGTAGCAGTAGTAGTAGTAGTAGTAGTAGTAGTAGTAGTAGTAGTGGCAGTCGTAGTAGTAGCAGCAGCAGCAGCAGCGGTGGTACAGACGGCACTTGGACATAAGGGCATGAAACTTCGACATTCCTTGCTTGCCTGTCCAGCCTCTGGTGATGCAAAGCGACCGGCAAGAGCACCGCAGGCTGGCCGGACTAGATAGCTTAGCATGCAATATGACAGCAGTAGTCAACATTGTATGAGTACCGAATTTTATTTCGTCTGCAGTGCACAAGCAGCAGATATAAAGTAAGGGATTTTGTGCAGCAATGCATCAAGGATGCAGGAAATTCAGGGCACATCCGGATGTGTCGGTCTCCTTTAGCTTGCTGCAGGTCTGTTCATGCTGCACAAGAAAATGAATCCTTGTCATTTGTATTTGGGGTTGAGGGTTCAATCCTGTTCCGACTCCGAGAATAGACCAGAGCTCAGATTAAATCCCAGGTGCATAGTGACCGCAACGGGCCTCAACTAAAAATCCCAAACCGCAAACCCTTCCCGAGGAGTTTCTGTGTGCCAGATATTACCCCTGAACTAATCCTGCATCCTGGAAGGCCTAAACCCATTGAATTCTACAGAACGAGCTCTCCGCAGAGTACGAGAACTTACCAAGCTACACGATTGGGCACTATGGCATTTTGTAATTGACTATGTTTTGATACTCTCCCTCTCTCTACCTACATACATAGTATACTCTCCACACGTACCATGTCAGATGTTCACACATGGAAATAGGTACATGTAAATACAGACCTATGTATATTTATATAAACATCTGTATGCATGTGTATATAGGGTGTGTACTTTGTCATATACGAAATGTATATGTATATGCACATGCATATACATATACATATCGCATATACATAATATATATATATATATGAATACATATATATATATATGTATAATATATATATATACATAGATAGATAGATGTACAGTATAATTATACTTATATATATATATAATATTATGCGCCCCAAATGGATCCTTTAAAGGAACCCTCGAACCCCAAGCCCCTAGGGATCCCTTACGACGCCACACCGCAGCGTCCCAAAACCCTAAACCCTAAAACCCTAATGTTGATGAGGGAGCTCCGCATGACTTCCAGTGACAGCTGCATTCAGCGACATGGCCACAACACAAACGAATTGGAAAGCGTTCTTTTTCAGCACAAGCAAAGGACTTCTGGATGATTCGGCTGAAGCTTTAAGGTTCTGCCTGCATGGACTACTTAAGCTCTGCAAAAGTCTGTACTGTCCACGCACGTAGTGCCGGGCTTAGCCTTTACAGCAGCAGAAGTCACACAACAGATGCACAAGGTGGCAAGCAGAGCTTCAGCACTCCTCCTTGGCCTTCATGGTTCATGGAGGGCATCCATAACTCCCTATACAATTGCCCACCGTGTGCAACTCATCGTTCCTTCAAGGATCTACCGTGGTTATCACGACAGCATTGACAAAAGCGAACTGCTCGGGGTCGGGTGTTTCGAAGTCCCCAGCAATGCTCGTAAGTATGAAACGTATCCCCACTCGGGCTCACATAGAGGGGATAGTTCCAGTGTGCTGGGTCTGGCACCGGTACTGGTACTTCACGATCTTGATAGCACACCAGTGGACGAGCATCAACCTGAGTTCCTGCCTCGTGTGTAGTTCTATGAATCGGCATGCCGCTTGGAACGGCTGGGGTAGCTGAACACGCGGCTTCGGAAGTTGTAGGCACCATCGATGAGGGCTGGGGAATCCTTGCCGTAGACGGTGATGCCAAAGGTGTTCTTGCCGTAGACGGTGAGGCCAAAGGTGTACTTGTAGTAGACGGAGAGGCCAACGGGGTCCTCGCCGTCGAAGTAGTAGACGACTGCTCCCCCAACGGGGGTGATGTGGATCGCCTTTCCGCGATCTGTAGCTCAATCTCGCGCTGGATCGTCTCCTTCAAGTTCTTCAACCTCCTTGCAGACCGGGAGGGTCGTACTTCGCCACAGCAGTGATCAACACACCACCATAGCAACTCCCATAAAGCCACCACCGCAATTCCCATCAAGATCACCATGATGTAGAGCTCCATTGAAGTCGTCAACGCCAACGGTTCATCATCTCCATCGGCGCGCGTTGTCTGAATCATCATGCAAAACACCATCATCTTCACCATAGATCTTTTGGTCGCCTCAGCCACAAGGTCAATGAATCCCCATAAACCAACCAACTCCTCGAGGCGCTGACGGGGAAATGACTTCGTCAGAAGATCTGCCCATTGATGTTTCCCCTGGACGTAGGACACCACTACTTGTCCACACTGGATTTGTTCATGAATGTAGGCTGCCCGAACACGTAGATGTCGGGTCCTCCAAGAGGTCGAAGAGGACGGCTTGGCGATAGTGATCGCCGCCTGGTTATCGATCTTCAACAGGATCCGCTCGGTCTTCTGCATCTGGTTGATGACCGATTCTATACTCTTTCCCATGACCAAGCCCTCTGTCGCAGCCAGCAGCTCACATTCAGCCGTACTCAAGCACGTAAACGGCTGTCTCGCTGACCTCCAACACACCGGGGCCCCAAGCCAAACCGCAACCAAACCCGAGTGGCTCTTCGATCCACTAGGAGCGAACGAGCTGTCGGTGAAGACCGTCAGGTCTTCTCCAGTGGGATGAAGCGCCAAAGCCAAGTTCTTTGTGCGCTGCAAGTAGGAGCGAAGTCGTTGTGCTATCAACAAGCACCGCGGAGCTGCTCTGGTCAACAACGATCCCATAGCACAAACCACGTAGGCTATATCAGGCCTGCTCCGCTGCGCCAACCACAGCAGTTCACCGCAGGCCCTCTGGGCCTGCTTCACCTCGTCCTCGGTGCCTGCACTCTCACCCTCTGCAGCTTCAAAGGAGACCCACTCCTTTGGTGCTTGTATGTAGGACTGCTCCGTCTCGGTGGTACCGTGATGGCGTAGGATCTCGTCGATGTAGGGCTTCTGGTGAACGTAGATCGCATCGTAATCCTCATTCACTGCAATCTCGCATCCCAGGAACCGTATTTCATGGTCCGGGTCCAGCAGCTCCAAATCAGATGCCTTCCAAACCGCCCGAATGGCAGTTGAGACCCCATGAACCAGCCACAAAGGACCCGATACCAACATGTCATCGACGTACACCAAAATCAAACCATCAGGAGGTTGATCTGCAGGAGCCCCAACTTCGTACAACAACCACATGTTCGGCTCCGCGATGCCCTTCTTGAGCGTCCATTTCTTCTCCTGGCTATCAACACTGATCTTCTGCATTTCCTCATCCCGAAAAGCTGACCAGAGCTTGGGGCTCTGACGAAGCCCATACATCCCATGAGTGAGTAGCCAGCGTTCATCCTCTTCAGCTAGCCCAAGCTGAACGAGTACGGCAGGGGGCCGAATGACGTAGGTAACCTGGCCGGGACCACCCGGCAACGGTGTGAGCATGAAGGCGCCCGTGATGTCGGTGATGCCGGATCGCCATCGTCTGCTCGCTGTGTAGGTCAAGGCGCAACGCAAGCTTTCCGCAGCAGCTCCTCCTGCATAAAGATCACCTGGATCTTCCGAAGCGTAGTTGCCGCAGCACACAATGCGAGCCTTTCGCTTACAGTACTGAGGTTCCGCCCCTTGTAGTGCCTCCTCCGACGGAGGCTTCACTGTGTACACAAGCTTCGAAGGTAGCTCCTGAACAGTCCCTTTCTGCTTCAAACTGGGAAGGTCGCTGACGCTGATTCTCTTGAAGCCGCGCTCCACAACACCAACTTCCTTAGCAATCGCTGCCTTCCAGCTATGGATGGCAGCTTTCGCTTCACGGGGGCTCACGTTGTAGGTGTGCCGGAGAGCCGTACAAGTATTCACAGCATTGGCAATGATATCCTCAATGCCGTCCACATACTCTGGTTCCAGCTTTGCAACTTGTGGGCCATCAAACAAGCCCAGCGAAGCCCAATAATCCGCACTCTCAACCAGGTCATTCTGGTACATGAAGTCGGCGTCCTCCTCCTCAAATACATTTGGAGCGGAGACACGATTCAATAGCTCCGTACCCGGATCATCTGACCCACAGACCTTGCGCAAAAACACAGCCTGGCTTGAAGACATCGTCGATACCTCCTCCTCAGGGGGTGCTTCCACATAGATGCCCCAGTCCCAAACAGTCGCCTCACAGTCGCCAACGGTGGCCACCTTCACGTCACCAGCCGCCTCATGAGCTCCACTCAATGAAGGCTCCAATG